CGTCCCCGGTGTGGTGGGTGGGAGAGACGCTAGTGTTCGACGTGATCAACGAGAACATTGGTCAAGCGTTGTATCAAAGGCTTGGACTGGGTGTGAAGGTACCAGAAGACTTTATCTGAGCGCCATCGGCCAAGCAGTTTGATGAGACTAGTCAGGATATTGCCTTCAAGAAGTTCGTTAGCCCTGGTGCATCAAAGAGCACCAATGGTTGGAGGTCGATCAACCTCCACAGAGAGAGAGCAACAGCTCTCAAATATGTTGTCATCATTCAATTGATCACATTGCAAGCGACTCCAAACCTGGAGTAGTAGATGAACAGTGGGGTCTTACTAGTTGTGTGTTGACTCTGTTGAAGGTGTTGGACGATTGCGATCAGCCAGCGTTGCGGTTGGGTTGTCACCATTGATTGACGTGCCCAGACCGATCTTTTTGTCTGGCACCGCATTTTTGTGTTTGTCAAAAATCATACCGGCAAATGTCACAACAATAAGTGGCGTGTCCAGGAGGCGGAGCGGAATGATGTCGCCACGAAATTCAGTGCCTCTGAAGCAAAAAACCACTTGCTTCAACCTTGAAGGGAAATTGGGTTCCTATTTTTGACAGTTATTTGCCAGGGCGTAACAAAAAGAAAAGTCTCAGACACATCAATTGATTCATTGCCTTCACGGCATTGGTGCTGGTGGGTTTTGTGGCAAGCTTGGTTGTTGCATGCCGTACTAGCAAAGCTCCATGCAACAGGCAAACTTGTTGCGCTGCTGGATCAGCCTTCTTCCAACTTTTCAGCAGCCAAGTCCAATGAAAGTCCATTGTGCTGGGCGCAAAGCAATTCATCCTCAGATTAGCATTCCCAATGAGGAAAAGGCCTGGCCCACCTGACGCATGGCATCTTCAGCCGTTCGGCCCCAGACCTGTCTCTTACTGGGGGCAATTTTTTCACTTTGCCATTGGGTTCCAAACAGGGGGATGAGGATGAGCAAGGGATCATCAACTGTTAACAATCCTGGATCAAGGTGGAGCAATACAGTTGCAGAAGGCAACCCATGTGGTCCAGACAGAGTGTGCCTTTGCAACTCTTGAAGGACAGACTCTGCTTTTGATTCCAAGTTCAACAGCACGGAGGTCATCAAGGAGTTCACGGCGTTTGGCATCCTGTACAGTACAGTTGCCAAGAGTTGATCTGTGGGTACATGCGATTAAAATATAAAA